CAAATCACACTTAAAATTGACAGCAACAATGTCTACATCGGATTGGGAACATGTAGACAATATGACTACCTCTTCGGCTGCCACTATGTCGAACAAATGTAGGGACAATTTGATTTCCAAATTCAATCACCTCTCCAGCAAAAAATCGGATCCACACACCGAAAAGATAGACGTCAACAAAGTCGTAATTAATCGCAGTAACAGTTCCATTTCTGATGGTCTGAAATCCGTTTTAGCTAAAGGTCTAAACTTTGCTGTCACACCGAGACACTTACCGGTTAATGATATCATTGCCCATGTCGACGTTGCACTCAAGGGCTTGAGTCACATCTCTGCAGACGTAGCAAGATCTGAAATCGCTGCAACCCTCAAAAACGCTAAGTTGCCACCCAGCAACATCAGCAAAGACGAACGTTTTGAATTATCTCAATTTAAAAATAGGGATGATATTGTCGTCCTCTCAGCCGACAAAGGCAATGCCACTGTCATCATGGACAAAACAGAATATAACAACAAAATTCAAGAACTACTCAACGATGGCAGCTACACAAAAATAAAAAGAGATTCCACCAACAGCCTGGTCACCAAAACGAACAAAATAATCTCTGATTCAACAGCATTAATTGATGAGATCAAACAGTTCTCGTTGAAGCCCTCTGCTGCCAGAACACCAAGATTATATGGCCTTCCAAAGATACACAAAGAAGATACACCCCTTCGTCCCATCGTCTCTACTATCAGCTCCCCCACCTACAAACTGGCACGTTTTCTTGCTGATATACTGCGACCTTTCACTGGAAAAACCACCTCTGCGGTACTAAATTCTACTCACCTGGTATCGACAATCAAAGGCATTTCCCTGTCCCCAAACGACCTGCTTGTCAGTTTTGATGTGGTGTCCTTGTTCACCAAAGTCCCGGTACCTGACACCATCGCTATCATTGAAGACCTGGTTCATCAAGGACTGCATACTGATGTACCCCCCCTGGTGAGACATTGCTTAACCAACACTTACTTCACCTGGAATGGAACTTTCTACAAACAAACTGAGGGCACCCCAATGGGCTCCCCCCTATCTCCGGTTGTAGCCAACGTATTCATGGAAAAATTTGAAACTGACGCCATCCAGACTGCCACTCTACGCCTGACCTTATGGAAGAGGTACGTTGATGACACCTTTGTCATCTGGCCACATGGCCAGCCTGCTCTAGACCAATTCCGCGACCACATCAATTCCATACACCCAGCCATCAGATTTACCATGGAGGTCGAAAAAGATGGCAAACTACCCTTTTTGGATGTCTTAATTAAAAGAAGACATGATGGTTCAATGAGCCACTCTGTCTACAGGAAAGCTACCCATACAGATGCTTACTTGAAACCGGATTCCCACCACCATCCATCCCAGAAGAACTCCCTCATCAAGACTCTATACCATAGAGCCCAATGCATTTCCGACCAGGAACACATTACCAGTGAACTCAAGCACGTACACCAGGCTCTCAGGGCTAATGGCTACTCCGACTACACAATCCGCAAAGCCATCACTCCAGTCATGAAGAAGGATCCTCTTGTGGAGCCACTCAAAACCATCACCTTACCCTACATTGCAGGGGTCACTAAAAAGATCTCCAAAATCCTGAACAAACACAAGATCCAGGTCCGATTCAACACAGTACATAAAATCCGTGATTTAGTTCCATCTGTAAAATATGCTGTTCCAGACATACAGTACCCGGGCGTTTACAAACTAAAGTGCCTCTGTGGTAGTAGCTACATTGGAGAAACCAAAAGACATATCTCGGACCGCATCCGCGAACACAAAGCAGACTTGAAACACGGTAGGACGAACTCCTCTGCCGTGGCAGATCACTGTTATAATTCAGTGGGCTCACATGACATTGACTTCTCCAAGACAGAGGTTCTTTGCAAACCAACCGGCTACCATGAGAGATTCGTTCATGAGGCCATTCACATATACAAGCACAGAGACAATTTCAACCGAGAAGATGGATTCAGGCTTAGTAACCACTGGAAAGATGTTTTAAATCATTTCTGTTCTTAATTAATTGTATTTTTACGATGACCTTCAGACCGCAGCTCTTTCGCCAGCATTGCCTCTTAATACCTCTCACACCACGGTTAATAGTATAGTTTTACAATATGGAGCATACTAGGGCCTCGCAGCTGTCTCTCTCCCCCTCCTCTGTTCCGACCATGGACGAACTCGTCCGTCTGAACGGGGCCCGTAGCTATCCGTGGTGCTGAAATTTGAGGGTAAGAATTCACCCATTTTTTCGCCATATAGCATTGTGATATATAACGACTTATTGTTGGTAGCTTAGCTGATTGGAGAATATAGAGTTTATTGATAACATGAATGTAATTTATATTTTAGTTTTTATTGGTTCACTATATAGTACTGTGAATAGCTCAGATGTGTAGTCATTTCTGTGACCAGTCACTAGCTAATCACTCAGTTGTTTCAATGCTGGATTCGTCTAGTTATTTCAATGCTAAATTCTCCTGTTTGATTTGTACTAAGGGCCTCGGTGAATGTGTATGCTCTGACTTTAACGTAGCTATTTCTGCAGCAGGTACAAGCTCTATTTCTGCAGCAGGTACAAGCTAATCACTCAGCTTTCTCAATGCTAAATTCTATGCTAATTCCATTGTCAAGATGTGTATGCCTTAACTTAGCTATTTCAATGCTAAATTCTATGCTAATCCCTTTAACAATGGGTGCCTCTGCGGGTGTGTATGCTTTAACTTTTAACATAGCTATTTCTGTGACCAGTCACAAGCTAATCATTCAGCCATTTCAATGCTAAATTATATGCTAATTCCTTTGTCAAGGCGCTTTGTTCCTCTCACACAGCTTAAAGGCCGTATCTGAACGTGGCTCTTTCACTCCAGCGCTGTCCTACCAGACAGTCTCGCCCCCTTCACCTGATGAAGGCCGCTTTTGTTGTGGCCGAAACGTCGTGAGAATATTATTGTGTTATTTTATTTTATCAATTTATTATTTTATTATCATTCTACGTGATTTTACCGAAAGAACCAAAGAAGACAATTCTCTCTGCGCAGTGGAAAAGGGGGGCGGGGGGGTCTGTGTGTGTGTGTGTGAGTTCGTGTGTGTGTACAGATGGCTCCTGCGATAACGATCTGTTTGCCCTGGCGTGAAATTCCTCTCTCGCGCTCTTCGGGAGAGACAAAGGTGGTCGGGAGCACCTATCTCTTTATACTTTCGACTTAAATTTCTCAAATACCATTTGGTCCCATGTTCGCCAAGACTCGTGTTTGTAACTACGTCCTCCCGACACCTCTCGGTTTACCGAGGTTCTAATTGTTATGATGGAATTATTAAAAAGAAAAATAATTTTCATCCTGAGTTTAAGAGGTCCGTTTCCACATTGTTGGAATCCATATCCCTTGGATCTTTAAGGTTCTATAATGGAATATCGTTTAACGTTATTATTAATGTTATATTGCAATTTGCTTTAAAACTTGTGTTTGCCTGGTTGCCGTGTGTGGGGTGGGGTGTGTCTCCTCATCAAACCCGGCTGGTTTTTCCAGATGGCCCCTTGTGATAAGGTGTAATTCCTGCTTCTCCGCGCTGTGAGAGAGACAAAGGTGGTCGGGGTTGCTTGGGATATTGTTTAAACTCTTTCGTAAGTTTGCCCGTTCGCCTCATTCCTTCTCGATAACCTTTGATGTGACTCGGTATTTTGTCTCCAAGCTTTGTTTTAACAGTAAAAGTATTAAAGGTGAAAATCATTTGATAGCGAATTAATTATTGGATAATAATTCACTGATGTATCTGGTGGCCTGGTCTTGATTGGAGTAAGCGCGAGGACCGCTAACTTTAGCTTATTCTTGTTATTGCATTTTAAATTTGAACCGTTGTTTTAATGACAAAGGAAAAAAAATATATAGTTTAACCCGTGGGCGTCCTCGTTTCTGGCTTGCGGAGGGCTTCCCTCTGCGTGACCTCCCTTAGGGCACATCAAACTCTTGTTCATCTGGAGATCTTAGCAGATAGCTGCTAGCATCCTCGCCTCGAGAGTTTTATTATTTCTTTATTTTTTAATGGTCTGTTTATGATCGACATCTGGTTTTTCGTGTGCCTGGCTTACGGGTTTTATTGATTATTTGTTTGTTTGTTTGTTAAAAAAAATATTATATATAACGCAAATATTGTTAATATCAATTTTGGAAAAGGCTCATATACAACAAACCTCTACTGTGGTTCACAGGGTAAGTTTTTAATTTCATTATTTTGAATCGCTTATAATTTCAGAATATACAGTGGTACCTCGGAGATCGAACTGAATTCGTTCCAGAAGGCCATTCGAACACCGATTTGTTCGAACACCGAATACATTTTCCCCATAAGAATTAATGTAAATGACATTAATTGGTTCTAGACACAAGAAATATCTTATTATAAAGCATTTTTACACGAAGTTTACAGTAATTACATACATAGTCATAAAAAAAACAATAAATAAATGGAATAAATGAATAAATATATGAAATAAATTAACATTGAACTTCACTTTACCTGTCGTAAGGAGAGTTGATGCCTTGAGTGGAAGGTAGTGAGGAGGTGGTGGTGGTATTATTGTTTGGAAGGGGAGTCCCCTTCCATAATAACGTCGGGGAACTGCCCTTCTGGGGTTCTTTCTCTTTTGTGCCTCTTCTCTGCCACTAACTGTGAGTCAGTTGAGCTCTTTCTGACTAATAACGTATCTAAAGAGGTTTGTTTCTGCCTCATACGGTAAAACCTTTGTCTGGGCAAGCGTCATACACGCTGGCCATACGCGTCTCAGCCATACTGGTTCTTTCAAGTCGTGATTGCCCGTTCGACCTCCGAATTTCGCTGGGTTTCCGAGGCAAAAAATGTTCGGAAAAAATTGTTTGAACACCGATTTGTTCGAGTTTTGGTGCGTTCGATCTCCGAGGCTCTACTGTATATTTATTCATCTTTTGCAAAATAGGGCGGTGAAGCTTCCCTCTCCAGCCGACTTGGTTATAAAAGACCTGCGTTCCAAGAGGAGTCGTTAACAGAGGTATTACTGTATTTACTTACCTTAAAAAGAAATAATTTTGTGTTACACTTAATTAGATCTGTATAAAATATTAACATGTTGCATAATGCATGATACAATGATATATAATTGTTAGCAACATCAAATAAACGTGAACATCAATATCAACATGATCATATCTGCAGCATTAACCTTTTTGTGCAGAGCCACAGCCCATCATCTGAAGTTAAGCTTTTGTCCAGGAAGTACGAAGGCCCATTGCAATATTTGCCTGGTCAACACTTGTCAGTGACATGGGCCATGATGCTGGGTACTCTGTAAAAAGGAACTGCATCATCAGCATAGTTGAGATCAGTAAACAGTTTGTCCCCAGCAACCCTTAATCAATCTTTTATCCTTTTTGTATCTAATAGATTTGCCAAATTCTGAGTAAAGGTTTTGGTTAGCCTCATTTCTCAAGTTTAGAATACTGTGAGAATGGGCCTGCCACTTTCTCTTAGCTAACTGGAACCTCCATCAGCCTGTTTCTTGGGCAGTGTGCTTGACTAATTTTCAGAGGGGGGGCCACTTTCGCCAATAACACATAATCAGTGTGAGGGCCGCCACACATTTGAAACCATTGGGGTTGACAGCAGCACAATGGGGAGTGTTTTCACATTTGTGTAATGTCGGGGGACGCACGTCAGGGGGCGCACTAAAGGCCACCAGACGCTGCGAGTGGCCCGCGGGCCTTGCAATGAAGAACACTGATGTAGGGCGATCTGGACTGGCTAACCAGCACAGTAGTCGCACCTGCACGTGTCCGAGTCCCAAACCTACCCATCTCCCCTCGGCATCGGGAGAGGGGAATTATGTCATTCCTAAATGTAAACAATGCTCGTATTCTCGATATCAATGTTAACTGGACAGAGCCCAAATAATTATGGGTTTGATGGTCAAGAGTAGGTATTCACAATTAGTCTTTTTAAATAATGTTTAAAATTAAAATTTCAAGTCGAATATTTGTATTATTATTTAAGTAATACATTATTTTATTCGTTTTTCCTTCAGGGCAATAGAACGAAATGAGACTGGAAAATGTAGGCATACAGTACAGACAAGACAGTACAAGCAAGGCAGTACACATACAACAGACAGTACAAACGATACACTGCGAAGCAGACAGTATATTTAGACATTAGAAACGAGGCTTAACAGGCAAGACAAAAATATATTGAATTAATCTTGAATCACGATAATACGTAGAATCGCAGGGGATATGGAGTAGAGTGAATCGTTACCTGTATTATTGAGTCATTGTTGCTTACACGTAGCTGTGCCCTAACTCTTGTTCTACTTTAATTTCATGTTAAGGTTGAGTTTAATCAATGTGAAGATAAAGGACAATACAGAGCAGTGAAAGGGTTTTGCTGCCACCTCTGTTCTGCAGGTAACCAAGCAAAGCAGTAACACATTGTGACTAACAATGCATCCACTGCCCTATGTGGTCAAATGTTAGTTTGTAGAGTGTGTGGTTTTCATGTAGACAATATAAGCGATTAATGATTGCGTCTGCAAAGAATGCCACACGTGAAATTATGGTCATGCTTGCAACAGAGTAGTAATATAATTTAGCTGGGAAGGCCAAAGTTGATCACCATCACCAATAGGCGAGGTTACATTGAATCAGCTGTTCAGTACTCAGCTGTGTGTTAATGCTCATAGAGAGTTTTTGGCTGCTATAAATTTCCGTACAACAAGCTATAATTTGTGGCCAGGTCACTTCTGAAAAATATCTCAGTGGGCCTTACCTAGTAAAAAGATACAAATATCAGACATGCCTTTATTCTTTGCTCAAATTAAAGACTCTGTGGCATCATTTATTACAGCAGACCATAGCGCAGCGTAACATTAAAAGGCATTAGAAATACATCTTTTGGAATTAATATTATGCTATGTATAAACAACGTCATCAATTAGAAATGCATACAGATTGAAGAACGTCTTTGAAGTAAAAGGTATTAAGATGTAATATTTAATACAACGTTATTTTCTGACCTCATAATTACTTGAACTTATCCATTTTACAGGAAAAAGGTGGGTTGATGACTGCTTATCCGATGGCTACCAATCTTTCTGCACATCTTGCATGCCAGGGAAGAGCTACATGGACGTTGCAAACCGTGATCCTCAATGCAAAAAGTGCAGCACCTGCAATATTCTCTGTAAGAGTTCCACATCAGTCGGTTTTCTGTGTATATGGATGTCAACCGATTGTGGAGATACATGCATCAAAAGCTAATAAATCACTCTATGTTAAACAGAACAACTAAATCGATGAGAAAGTGTTGAATCACCTTGTAATTCGTGAGAAAGTGGGTTGTGGTGGAAAAAATTGTAATAAGAATATAAAGGTCAATGAAATCCGAGATTGGTTGAAACCATGTTGCTTGATAGGCTGCACCCAAGATTCCATCTTTGGATGGACCATAGATGACAAGGGTCGATTCATGAGAAAGGTGTGCTGAGCAAAAACAATCTCAGGTTATTTCATGGAGTCACAGCACTCCAAGTTGGACTCGCTTTACTCCACAAGAGGCTGAGGTCGGTGCTTGAAGAAATGGGCAGACTGTGGGCTCTAATCCTGGAGCTGATCTTTTATCTCAACTTGAGCAGGGTGGTATCCATATTATTGCTACATATCATGAAATTAAAGAAAAAGGTTCTCCATCTTAAATAGTAATACAAAAGATGGCTGTCAAGATATTGAGCTGCTCGAATGAAGAAGACTGATCATCGCACAGGCAGTTGGAGCTGGCACTCCCCGGTTGCACGGCGGGCCAGCATGACGACAAGGTGGCCTGTCGAGTTTTACACCAATTGGCTCCAGAAGTTGCATCAATTGAAAAGGCAAATGCACAAAGTGGAAATGTATCATAAGTTGGTAATGTAGGATGGTCTAAGAACAGGACAAGTCTTTACTAATACGAAAAGTTAAAATTCAACCATTAAAAAAAGATGAACACACGCACAGGAACCTTGACAGAGAAATCATATACACAGATGACATCACTGGAAGCTCTAGCACTTCCTATTTTAGAGTTTAGATGAATATGTCCTGGTTATTCACAACTCACCTAAAATGTCCACAATTAAACAGTCAATAGGATCCATGGCAGCATCCACTAAGCCACTATCTCCATTAAAACAATGACATTCTGGCAGATTACAGGCAATGTCACCCAGATAAAAATGTTTTTAAAGTCCTATTTTCTTATACACATGTTGTGCAGTAAGACCACGTGGAGATGGGATTTACTATAAGGGCTGTTGCCGTTTATTAACACTGTTGCACACAACACTAAACTCACACCAGAGGTAGGTGCTCTCTATTCTTGGTCCTTGCCCTGGACCCCCGAACACTATATTCTCCTACCCTCGGCTATCCCTTGGGGCTCTCTCGTCTGGCCGGAGTGGGGGTTCATCCAACACCGCCCTGCGACAAGGACAGAGAAACCCTCTCAGCCGATCTTTACTGAATACTCGGAGCCCTGTTCTTGGCTATCCCCTTGGCTCTCCCACTCGTCTGCTCGGGATGGGGGTTCAGCCAACACCGCCTGGCGATGAGGAGGGAGAGACCTCTTCCAGCCGATCCTTGCCCTGGCTCCCCACAACGACCCCGCCTTCGTCACAGGGTCCCCATTAAGTACCCCTTTGGCAGCTCCTCCACCTAGCTCAGATCCGCCTTTGTTCCCGAAGGTACCCCCTTATAACACCCGTGACATGATGTGATCCTCGGCTGTCAACTCGCTCGCACCTCCCTCTGTTCACCCGTTCATGGTTGCTCACACTCTCCATCACCCCCCCCTCCCCATAAAAAAATTTCAGCCGTCCCGGCTGCTAACTATACTGAAACCAACCCGCATTGGGGTCGATGGCAAACAGCCAGAAAACCATCAACAAGAACAATTGTAACAACAACATAACAATATCAACAACCATATCAATGGAGGTGTGAAGGCAGATCCGTCTGCTGGGGGGACAACAAGGGTGTTAAGGCAGAACGGAAAGTGCAAGGAAGGCCTTCATCTCTCAGTCCAAGGTGCCGAGCACAACATCAGCGATGGCTGGCGTTTGATGACAACGGGCCAAGAAGGAGATGCTCAACGGAAAAGAGCTCCTCTGGACCATGTATGTGCCGTCAGTCCACTCCCATGGGCAGCATCCATGAGTGAGCGGTGCGTCCGCTGATGTCAGGTCGTTCCACGGGAACTACTCGGAGGGGTTCTGTGGGTGGACAAACAGATCAATTATGCTGCACCCCGCCCCGGCTGGGATGGCCCGGTTCGTCGGACGCGTTAGGCACCGGCTGTTCTGGAGTTGGGGATTAATCTACGGGACAAGGCAAAACATATCTTTTCAAACTGGATGGATGCACGGTCCAGTGACGGTGACTGATCCGGATGCGCACGCACTGTGGCCGACGAACCTCCACGACCTCAATGGGACCCTGCCAACGGCGATGTAATTTCAGGGACATCCCAATGGGCACCTGGGGACAATGTAGCCATGCTTTGTCCCCCTTCCTCTATAGAAGTCCGGATCCCTGGTGTTTCTGTAAGCGCTCGTTAGCTGCTTGTCAGTTGGCCGAATTATCCACGGCAACTTCCCGTGCTTCACGCAGCCTGTCAAGCATGACCCTCATTGAAGCGGGCATGACGGATCCCTTCTTAGACGAGCTCAGGCCCATTTGCACATGCATCGGGGGTTCTGGTTTTCTCCCATACATCAGATAAAAGGGTGAAAACCCCATTGAGGAGTGAGGAGCCAAACTGTATGTGGTGAGGACGCCCAGAATAAACAGGTCCCAGTCCGACTGGGACACATTCACTTGGTGGCACAGCATGGATGTGAGGGTGCGATTTAACCGCTCCAACATCCCATCTGTTTGAGGGTGTAAGGCGAGGTACGGATTTTCTTCGTGCTAAGTAGGTCACAGACCTCCTTGAGCAGTTCGGGAAGAAAAATTCCGACCCTGGTCG